CCTACTCCTGATATAGAATCCAGTCCAACCCCCTGCCATGCAAGAAGACACAATCAAAGCACTCCCAACAGCCTCTACAGAAAAGCCTCCAGAGAAAAAGACTTCACCACACTCTGAGATAGCCTATGCCACTCTCCAGGAAGTTCTTCCTAATCTTTTCAGTCATATCTCTTTCCCTGCAATTTGAAACCATTGCTCCCTTGTGCCTTGGTCTCTAGCAGCAGATTTAAAAGGGTGTCTAAATGTTTTCAGCACAGGCCTGGATCATCCTGGGGATATTTTAGTGGAGCTTGAGTCAAATGTTGCTATATGTTGCAGAAATTTCAGTTAATTGGGATGCTTGAAGTCCTAGGGCCGTTCCAGACAGACCCTATATACCAGGATCTGATCCCAGGTTTTCTGTTTATCCCATATTATCTGGCAGTGGGGAATCATATCATCCAGTTTAAAGCAGAAAACCTGGGACCAGATCCTTGGATATAGGGCCTGTCCGGAAGGGCCTTTAGTAGCCCACACAATTTTAAAATGGGTCAACTGAGTGACATGGCAGCTCAAAAGGCCAATGTAATTCTCAGTTGCATCAATAGAAGTGTCGTGTCTATCAAGGGAAGTCCCTTTGGTCAGACTTCATCTGGAACATTGGATCCAGAAGGGCATTAATAAGTTGGACCATGTCCAGTGGAGGATGAATGATCACAGGTCTGGAAGCCAAGCAATGGCTGACGGAGCTGGGCATGTTTACCTTGGAGAAGAAAAGACTAAGAGGGGACATGAGAGCTATGTTTAAATATTTGAAAGAATCTCACATTGAGAAGGGGACCAAACTTGTTTTTCTGCTACTCTGGAGACTAGGACACAGAGCAATGGATTCCAAGTGCAGAAAGAGATTCCTCCTCCTGCATAAATAATGTAGTGCCTAGATCCAGGGAAGTCATGCTACCCCTCTATTCTGCCTTGGTCAGATCACGCCTGGAATACTGTGTCCAATTCTGGGCACCGCATTTAAGGGAGATGTAGACAAGCTGGAATGTGTCCAGAGGAGGGCTATTAAAATGATCAAGGGTCTGGAGAACAAGCCCTGTGAGGAGCGGCTTAAAGAGCTGGGCATGTTTAGCCTGCAGAAGAGAAGGCACAGACATGATGAAAGATGTGAGAGGAAGTCATAGGGAGGAGGGAGCAAGCTTGTTTTTTGCTTCCCTGTAGACTAGGACACGGAGCAATGGCTTCAAACTACAGGAAAGGAGATTCCACATGAACATTAGGAAGAACTTCCTAACTGTGAGAGCTGTTCAGCAGTGGAACTCTCTGCCCTGGAGTGTGGTGGAGGCTCCTTCTTTGGAGGCTTTTAAACAGAGGCTGGATGGCCATCTGTCAGGGGTGCTTTCAATGCAATATTCCTGCTTCTTGGCAGAATGGGGTTGGACTGGATGGCCCAGGAGGTCTCTTCCAACTCTTTGATTCTATGATTCTATGAAGGCAGGCAGGCCCTCTCAGCCACCACGCAAAGCAGAGGGTTGGGCCAGACGGCCTGTGGATTCGCTTGCAACTCTATGATTCCATGAAGCCATTGAATACTTTCTACACAATCACATCACTATGATTACACCAAAATTGCCGTGGTAATATCCTATGGACTCCTTGGATTTGCAATTAAGGAAAGTGTGCTTTGGTCCCACCTACAAGGCCATATAATGAAGTCAGTGGGTCCTTCCAGACAGGCCTTATATCCCAGGATCTGATCCCAGGTTTTCTGCTTTAAACTAGATTACATGAATCCCCACTGTCGGATAATCTGGGATAAATAGAAAACCTACAATCCAATCCTGGGATATAGGGTCTGTCTGGAAGGGCCCAGTGTATGCTCATATAATACAATCCGATAGCACTGAACTAGTGTTACACTATGTAACAAAATTGGAAAGAAATGTTCTGTTCCCGGGTTGAAAGTATTAATTCGTGTTTGTCATTATTATGCTCCAGAAACTTTGTTTTTGTGGTCACAAACTACTTTGAATAGCTTGAGACCGGATGAGATACTAATTGAAAAACTATCACAAAATGTGCTGCAGGATGTCCTGCAAAACCAAAACTTTTTGCAGTTTAATAAAGTTTTCCCATGTTTTGATGATAGAACCAATTAGGAAATTACATTTATAACCCAGGAACAAAAACTGTGTCACACAGGGCCCTTCCAGACAGCCCTATATCCCAGGATGTCATCCAAGGTTTTCTGTTTATCTCAGATTATCTGGCAGTGTGGACCCATATATAATCCAGTTTAAAGCAGAGAACCTGAGATCAGATCCTGGGATATAGGACCTGTCTGGAAGGGTCCATAGTGTTATGTGACAGGCCTATATCCCAGGATCTGATCCCAGGTTTTCTGCTTGAAACTGAATTATATGAGTCTACACTGCCATGTAATTTGGGATAAACAGAAAACATGGGATATAGGGCCTATCACATAACACTATGGATCCTTCCAGACAGGCCCTATATCCCAGGATCTGATCTCAGGTGTTCTGCTTTAAACTGGATTATATGGGTCCACACTGCTAGATAATCAGGGATAAACAGATAACCTGGGATCAGATCCTGAGATATAGGGCCTGTCACATAATATTATGAACCCTTGCAGACAGGCCCTTTATACCAGGAACTGATCCCAGGTTTTCTGCTTTAAACCACACAGCAGAATGTTTAGGCAAAGAAAGCGTGCTTGAAAACATATTTATGAAAGGACAGAAGACAATGAAAAGTTTAGTAGGAGAATTATATAAAACAATGATAAAAGACAATGAATATGTAGTAAGAACATTACAAAATAAATGGCAGAAGGAAGGGCCACTCACGAAACAAACTATTGAGGAAATAAAGAAGGGGTAAATAAAATTAAAATGGAAAAATATATAGAAATAGAAAGGAAATTAATCTGGAAATGGTACAGGACACCAGCTCAACTTTATATGTATACCGTAGGGCTGGGCAACCACGGAAAAATTTGTTTCTAAACTCGATTCGTTTTTAGGGGGTTTTTGCGTTTCGATTTTTAAAAGAATTCCGAAATTTTTCTTTAAAAAAGTTCGATATTTACGAAATTTCGTAAATTACAAAACAATACGAAACAATTACGAAACAATTACGAATCGATTCGTTAATGGCGGACGTGACCACGCAATACGCTAAAAAACCTCCAAATGGGACAGGGGGAACTTCTGAAGCTTCCCTCTCCCTCTGTTGTTGACTGTTGGTGTGATATTTATAATTTTTTTTCACTGATTAAACAAACAACAACTATAAAACTTGCCCCAGACATGCGGAAATAATAACGAAACGATTTCAAAACAATAACGAAACGAATACAAAACGAATCTGAAGCAATTACGAAACGAATTTAAAAATTCGTTTTGTTTTTTAGTTGCTCCTGAATGGTTGCTAACGAATTTTTAACGAATTATGAAATTACGAAACAAAACCGCCCAGCCCTACTGTTTATCCCAAATTACCTGGCAGTGTGGACTCATATAATCCAGTTTAAAGCAGAAAACCTGGGATCAGTTCCTGGGATATAAGGCCTGTCTGGAAGGGTCCATAATGTTATGTGACAGGCCCTATATCCCATGTTTTCTGTTTATCCCAAATTACATGGCAGTGTGGACTCATATAATTCAGTTTAAAGCAGAAAACATTGGATCAGATCCTGGGATATAGGGCCTGTCTGGAAGGGTCTATAGTGTTATGTAGCAGGCCCTATATCTCAGGATCTGATCCCAGGTTTTCTGTTTAGCCCAGATTATCTGGCAGTGTGGACTCTTATATTCCAGTTTAAAGCATAAACCCTGATATGAGATCCTGGGTTATAGGGCTTGTCTGGAAGGGTCCATAGTGTTATGTGAGAGGCCCTATATCCTAGGATCTGATCCCAGGGTTTTCTGTTTATCCCAGATTATCTAGCAGTTTGGACTTGTATATAATTCAGTTTAAAGCATAAACCCTGATATGAGATCCTGGGATATAGGGCCTGTCTGGAAGGGTCTATAGTGTTATGTAGCAGGCCCTATATCTCAGGATCTGATCCCAGGTTTTCTGTTTAGCCCAGATTATCTGGCAGTGTGGACTCTTATATTCCAGTTTAAAGCATAAACCCTGATATGAGATCCTGGGTTATAGGGCTTGTCTGGAAGGGTCCATAGTGTTATGTGACAGGCCCTATATCCTAGGATCTGATCTCAGGTTTTCTGTTTATCCCAGATTATCTGGCAGTGTGGACTCACATATAATACAGTTTAAAGCAGAAAACCTGGGATCAGATCCTGGGATATAGGGCCTGCCTAGGGTCTGTCACATAGTGTTATGTGACAGACCCTAAGTCCCATGTTTTCTGTTTATCCCAGATTATTTGGCAGTGTGAACTCATATATAATCCAGTTTAAAGCAGAAAACCTGATCAGATCCTGGGATATAGGGCCTGTCTGGAAGGGTCCTTAAAGTGTTACATAGTAGGCCCTATATCCTAGGATCTTATCCCAGGGTTTTCTGTTTATCCGAGATTATCTAGCAGTGTGGACTCATATAATCCAGTTTAAAGCAGAAAACCTGAGATCAGATCCTGGGATATAGGGCCTAGCATCTATTTGGTCCCTTCAAGACAGGCCCTATATCCCAGGATCTGATCCCAGGTTTTCTGTTTATCCCAGATTATCTGGCAGTGTGGACTCATATAATCCAGTTTAAAGCAGAAAACCTGGGATCAGATCCTGGGATATAGGGCCTGTCTGGAAGGGCCCATAGTTTTAGTGACAGTATGGATGGGGCCTTAGAATTCTCAGCCAGAGCTCCTCTAGCAAGTGGCTCAAATGGAACGTTCACATCCCAGGAGGTTGCCTTGGTAGTTAAAGCGGACTCAGAGCGGTACAGATTACCCAGTGCAGATGGGTGGGGGAGAGAGAGCGAAACAGTTGCTGGGAGCATCATTTAGGAGGCCCTGGGAGTGGACTCACCTTGCCGCAGCCCGGGGGCCCCCAAAGGATCAGGGAGGGCACTTCGTGGGCTTCCAAAAGGGACCGCAGGAGAGTCTTCTCCCCCAAGGCTTGGTGCTGCCCCATGTACTCCTCCAAGGAGTTGGGCCGCAGCTTGTCCGCCAAGGGCTTCCCTTCCAACTTCTGGGCCAGGCTTTCTCCTTTCAGCTCAGGTGCCGGGATCTTGGCTTCTTCCACACCTCCATCCGGCTTCTCTTCCATTTTAACTCCGGAGTGGCGCCCTTTGCGGAAAAGGGAGAAGAGCTGCGATGAACCGCTACTTGGTTCCTCTTCTCCCCGGCTGCCCTCTGCAGAGAGGCGCATTTTCTTGTTGCAAGGTTGCTGTTGTTGTAACCCCGATTCACTCATCTGCTGCAAACATCTGTCCAGATGTGCATTAATGGACGTAGCTGGCAGCACCAAGGAGCAAACCGGGCAGCAAACTGAAGCCTCGTCTTTTTCCTGCACCTCCATTTAAATTAACACGAATTAATGCCTCAAAGTATTCTTTCCAAGGGGCGTAGATCACTTGTAAACATGCCCGGGCGGGAAAAAACAATCCACGCCTCCTCTTCCTCTTCCTGTTCATCGCACTAAACGAGCAGGCTCTCGGGAGTTGTAGTTTCTTGCTTTCCTAAACGCCCTGCAGGTTGTTGGATATGGACTTTCACCCCCTTTCCGCTTTAATTTCGCTGGATCTCAGTGTTTTCCTTTTTCCCAGGTGCTCACTCCTCTCTGCTTTGCCCCAACACGCTATGTCAATATCAAGGCAAACTTGGATTCGAATGAACACTCAATGGTGCGTCTGCACTGTAGAATGAGTGGGTTACTGGAATTGCCAGGGCTCAACGCTATGGGATCAGAGGAGTTGTAGCTTTATAAGGTCTTTGTCTGCCAAAGAGGGGTAGCTCCTCACTAAAATGACAAATCCCATGATTCCATGGACTCTTACAC